TCTTCGAATTTTCGTTGAGTCTGCTCATTGCGCAAGTCATCGTGTAATAAATCAAATCAAATCAAATCAAATCAAGTCTGCAATTATTTTGAGTGAGGTGCTGTGCTTGGGTACTTGCTATTCCTCCGTCGCTTCGTNTTTTTTTTTTGACACAAAACGGTCTACCTTGTAATATTTCTGCACGCCGAGATAGATGCTCCGCTTACAACACTTGAGTCATTTACATGGTGTCGTCCCGGGTTTGAATGGCACTTTTCAGCGTACATCGGGACAGACGAGATTTCAAAGGCCATTAACGCATATGCCGACGGGCGTCGCTCTTCAAAAATGCACAAGTAAATACCGTGCCATTGTTTGATATCAGTATATCGGGAAAATCACTCATATTTATGCAAGAATAATACCTTTTTTCGTGTTTGATCTCCAATTGTAAGACTCTTCATTGTCCAGGCGGGTGGAGCAAAACCTATAACCATATGAGCTAAAAAACAACCTATGACCATACGAGCTACAGACCAGCTACAGACCGATTGTGATTTGTGTTCGGATCGGTAGCAATACACGAAAAACAAACTAAAATTTAGAAACTGACCCTAATATTACATAGATGACCATTCTGGATTGAAACAGCTGTAATGAATTCGCGAAAGTGCTGAATTGCAGTGAGAGCTAGAGCACTGACCGTCCCCCATCCGAAATAAGTGAGGTGCGAGCGTGAAAAGCATCCATTACATGCAGGCTCTGAAATGAACTTCATAATACTTAGTCGACGATGATGAAGAATTCAGAAACTGATCAAAAACCCAAACGTGCACCACAAGAAAAGAGGTAACTTAAACCTTCCACGTAATAGTAGCCCTGAATTATATATTTGAGTAACCTTGGCTTATGGGATAGAGATTTTGACCGTATTATAAGCGCCGTGAATAATATATAACATTTTGCCACTAACAGTACACTAATGTAATAAAAGGGATATGAAGACGGTTGGAAGTAGTTGCGATTTGAACACAAGGTTAGTTGCCGTCTTTTCGCGTGTGGGCTCCGCAGTCACCGGAAAACATAGTTTAGGCGTAAATCAACTTTGGTCTAGAAGTTCTTGCTTTTGCTCATGTTTATTGCTGGAAAGTTCCGCGTCATGGGTCGAAGTTCCACTTTTTTTGTTACGAGATTATGCTGCTCTCACTATTTTTCACACTGTTTTCCATTTATTCTACCTATTTTACTATATTTAGAATGGTGTTTTCTAGCCAATAATTCCAAGTTTTCGAATGTTCGCATTTTTTTGGAGTTGCTTACTTTTGTGTGTTTATGCTTGTTTTATCAAAACAGTATTTTAGTACCCTAGCAGCTATATTGTATCATGGCTGATGAAGAACTTGCAAGTTACCGGCTTCAGTTTCAGCAGGTAGTTTCAATTTGAGTGTTTTAATTTTTTTAAGATTCCCAGTTAACTAAAGTCATTTGCAATTATTGCTAGTGATTTTGGTGTGGTTCAGGTTGAAGCTGCTCTTCTTGGTGATCCAGACAACGAAGAATTAAAGAAGCTGAAAGCAGATCTCGAAGAAGTTATAGCACTTCAGGTATCTTTTATGGAACCGCACATTATGAATGTTTCGATTTGTTAATGAGTTGCTTGTGTTTATGTTAGCTTTTAAAAATGTAGGAAGAATTAGCAAGCACCTCGGCCTCTAGTTCTGCTAACGAAACTGCTAGAGTAACCGCTCCTGCCAGGAAATATCAGGTACTGTTCCGGGATCTTAAAAAATCATTTATTCATTTTGTGTTTTTATTGGATCGATTTAATTTCCATAAATTTTATTCGCTAACACTAGATTGATAAATATGTATCTAAAAAATAATAAATCCAGGTGGGTGATCGTGTCATGGCGCCACTGCCCAACGGAAACCGTGGTGTAGCAGTTGTGGATTCATTAACTGCTGCAGGAGTTGCAGTTTTGTTCATTAGTAAGTGAACTTTCTTAAAACGACTAGTGTAAAGGTGAACATCACCTTATTACCCACACGTTAGATTATTGTATGCAGAATCTTCGAATTTTCGTTGAGTCTGCTCATTGCGCAAGTCTGCAATTATTTTGAGTGAGGTCGCTGTGCTTGGGTACTTGCTATTCCTCCGTCGCTTCGTTAAGGCAGCGGTCAGAAAACAATCGTCGATCCATCCGATCTCAGCGACGCTCCTGATGCTGGTAAAAAGCACTACGTATTCGACACGCGCAGTGCTATTTCGAAGACCGCAGCGAATAAAAAGGAATGGCTTGTAAGTTTACATTTTATACAGCTATGTTCTTTTGAAAAGCGACAAAATTCCCTTCTTTTGTTAAGGCTGAACGTGAACGACGTCGTTTGCGAGCTCAGAAAAAGGAGATGAAGAGAAAAGAACTCGATCTAGCAAAGGAATCCGAAAAGAACAATTGGCTCAAGTTTAATAGCAAGGCGGTTTCCAAAGGAATAAAGGTTTGTTATGGGATATTACCATTTGATCAAGTGTGCCGTACTCATGAATAGTAGCCTTGGTTGGATTTTTTGTTAACCATTGTACTTTGTGTTAAGGGCATGAAACGAATAACTGCGACTGGTTCCGCTCAAGATGGCCCTGCTGGAGGTGATTCATTTTCTTTATTTACTTTTTCCTTCTTTACATGTCTTTCCTTATCTTTTGGGATATGTCCTGGATAGTCACCAGTTGAAATAAGTACAGAACTGTAGGGCGACTGAGTGTGGTGAGGTGAAGAGAATCTCATCCTTTTGCTTCAGTTTTACCTGTGAATGTAGATTGAAAAAGGATCTTGAAAAGTCTCGAAGTCCTTTGGAAGACATTTTGTCCTTCCTTTGTTGAGTGTGCAGTTTTTGAGCCATCAGTAGAGAGATTATAAAAATCCTTACGATCGTTAGGCGGTGAGGTAAGTGCAGGATATGGTCTTGGTCTCTTTTTTTAGTGAAAAATTTTTTATTAATGTGGAAGTTTTCGCATATCGTCTAATAAATTCTAGAATGAGAAATGCCAAACTTTATTCATAGTAGGCCTACGTTGTTTTCGAATTAAGTTGGTTTGGGGCTCGAATCTTGTCTTGTTCGAATCAGTTCTCGCTTTTAGTTTGTGTTGTTTCGTTGATTTGGATGGTCTATTTCATTTGATTCTTTTGCGAATGCCTTTTTTCCAAATTTCTAACCACAACCGTTTCCAGGAGTGAAAGCTCAGACAATCGTTTCATCGAGAGCCAACCAGTTTGCGTTCAAATCGGCACGAGGCGCTATGGATTCCCTGTTTTGAAGTACTGCATCACGATGTATCCTGTTTTTGTTGTATTTAAATTGGAAAAGGTCTGTGCTTGTAATTAGCTGCAGTGCCCAGACCTCCATTTTCGTAGTTTGTTTTTTCATTCGCGTCTGACGAATTGGTTGAGACCATTTCTTAGCAGAACCTATTTTGTCTCCATGTCTCCTCAGCTGAGTTTTCTCTCTTCTTCTACGCCTACGGAGGAAAAGTCTGCTCTATTGAAGGACCTCTTATTAGATTATGCACATTGGAAAATTCTTTACTATTTGTTGTCGTATTGCCTGTACTACACGAGTCCAATTGGATTTTCAAGGATTGTCATTGTCTTTTTTCACTTCTTGAAGCACTGGCAAGATAAAGATGAGTTTGTGTTATAACGCCTGACAATTCAGTGTTCAGTAAAACTCTATGAGATTGATGTTACAGTTTCCTTGGTGTAGACAGGATCATAAACAATCAGCAAAATTTGTGGCATGTGTCGTTGGAAAGTGAGCGTAACTTTTGTGAATTCGAGCCAAATAATGTTCTCCAAACCTCTCAACCTTGAAGTGGTGGGGAACTTGATGTAGAAGAGTGATGCTTACTATTAAGTATATGTAGTAAATAGTAAACTCAAAAATGAGCAGCACTGCTTAGGCCATCGGACTAGTTGCACAGTAGTACATAGCAGATTCCATAAGTGAGCGGGGTGCCCTCGGTAGTGGATGGGCAGTTGACCGTTGTGTCCATTCCTCGGATTGATTCAAGAAGTACGACCAGGGATTTGACGTTTCAGTCATCTTGGAACGCTCCGCTCCTGTGAGCCTACAGTGCCACTCACCTGGGTATGTGGCCTACGCAACGTTTTATTCAGGATCACTCTGCAGTGACCCTGAATGTGATTCCCTAAGATGGAACATAGATAGGGATAACGGTTTGGGCAGGAATTGATTCGACGAGTAGGGAGGGTACGGGAGCAGCTTGCTCAAAACCTTAATACTACTCAATGTCCATCATGGAATCGCGAATTATGTCGTCCTTCCCACCTCGTAGGAATCGAGCATGGCGTCCTGAGTAACATCTCCATTAGTAGGACCACCCACACCACCTGAAGTTCATTTCAAATTAAAATCCCCTCGTAGGAATCGAGCATGGCATCCTGAGTAACATCTCCATTAGTAGGACCACCCACACCACCTGAAGTTCATTTCAAATTAAAATCCCAGCCTATAATTCCCTCTCTGAGACCGAATCATGTGATCTCACAAACACTTAACAGATGACTCACATTAGAGTGATCCGAGATCGATTTTAGCAGCAGTCACTCAGCACGAGTACCTACAACAGCAGAGGACTTACCGGAGCCTACAAAACGAGAGTCGACAAAAGATCGAAGGGTAAATGGAGGCAGAAGCAAAAAAAAACTCATCGAGTATTTGCCCATGACCACCCCTTCACCCTTCTGCCATCTGCAATTATCCCTACCACCCGAAAGGAATGCTTTCAATTTCCAGGGTGACAAATTTCGCAACAACGGTTACTCTCAATTCCATAACTCTACTATGGAGACCTTGTCAATGAATCCTATCTGTGTTGTTTTTGAGAGAATCAAAATTTCAATTAGAAATGCAATTACGTTGTCAGGTAACACCTTATCTATTATTAATCCATTAATTACGGTAGGCGGCGGCTACGGCCGTCGCGCTCATTTTAGCGGGACTTACTTCGTCGGCTACTAGTTACGGTAAGTCCCTTGCTGTCGTTGCCAGTTATGTTGAGTGAGTGGTTTGATCCCGGACAACTCTAACGAAAATCATGTGATAGGTATTTGTGAAGATCACAGCTTTATATTTGGTCTCGGATTTTCCAGTTAAAAGAATAAAAAAGTCTTCACAATTACGTAAAAAGCAGTTTTTCTCCTTCCAACACATAATCACTCTGCCGAACATGTAGTAATAGTAGAGTTATCACTGGATTTTACCAGTCACTATGATGACCATTAACGTGAAGGAAGGGCTCACTACCCTCAGACCTTTCACCTTGTCCTGAGCTTTACTTATGCATATCGACTAGATGATTGTATTGATCATCCCAAAGGTTTCTTCTTTTCAGACCTTCCTCACTCATTCATTAGATCTTCCGCTCATCTGGTTCAGCTTTATCCTGGCTCCTCTGGATCTAAATGAACGTACAACAGCCTATACTGAAGGATCGTTTCACTATTCATCGACATATTAATCCACAATACGGTGAGGTTACGGTATAAATGGTTTAAGATCTAACAGCCGACTAAGGGCCACTATCGATAACAAGTGCTGTAGATGGTGAAATTTCAGCTGAGTCAAGTGATTCGGAGAGGCGTACGGAACAGAAACGATGGCAGAAACAACCAACAGTGGTTGCAAAACGTAATGCACGTGAACGTACACGCGTTCATACAGTAAACCAGGTGAGAACGTACGGTATATTTCTTACCAAGACCTCATAGGTAAACGTGACCGGTCATGCGTGTAAGTATTCGCGAAAAAAAAAACCATCTTCTGCCATTTTTATTATTGCCATATTTTAGTCGCTGAGGCGCCCTATGCTCTTGCTTCCTAACCTGGGCTCACCTGAAATAATTTTCGCCTCCACTGCCATTCCCTGACGTGGTGGTTACCTCACTACAGCTCTTGTCGTGTTTATCAACTCATATCGTCTTTCGCTTGCCAGTCTCATTCTTTTCCTCCTGTTCAATTGCCCGAATTCCGTATCGAATAAAGTCCCCGCCGTTGTTTCCTGGGATCCACAGCATCTTCCTACATGGTACTACACCCACCCACTACGAAATTCCAAAACGTCATTTCATGATTTTTTTCCGTCGCGATCCTGGTCCCGTTCATTGCCGTCTACCGAATTCTATTACTCATCATCATGGTCGAGCACACCAACTCAGCGTATTGAGTGGTGTCCAGAGACCGACGCAATACCTAGCGAATGGCAGAGACCAGTCTGGACCATCATGGCCTAAAGCGAAAGGTTCGATGGCCCTGCTTTCGAAACTTCCTCTAGCTTACCGGAGCGCAACACTCGCTAAACCTCGCCATCTTTTGCCAACCTGTCGCCGTAGCTCGTTCTTTTTTATCTACATTTCCTGATTTCCTCCATGAACAGCTGTCAAAGCTGAGGGGCTTTGTATTCATTCCACTGAGGTGGATTTGTCGTTAAGCCATTTAACTTGATTCACCACCCGTTTTCTTTGTAACATCCCAGATAAAAAAGATCTAACTCATCAAGACTTACCGCACTCGATAATCCATTGCTATTCATTTGATAAGTTCGGCGTACTGAGCCTCTTTTTAGGCTTTCGTTACTTTGAAATTTCATCTGCCGTCATTACGAGCGCATACGAAACGTGTGTCAAAGCTGAAAATTCTGAATGCCGCTATCTGTTATATCGATTCACTGGTCGCCATACTCAAGGTGAGGAAAATTCTTTCCTGTTAATAGCCTTCTTGATTTTAGTTCATTAACAACTCTTCTATAATGCAGAGAGCTGGTTCTTGTTTCCTTTTCTTCAATTCTCATACTGACGTTATGTGAGTAGTGAGCTCTGACTTGCTGAAAGGCGCTGAGAGGATCTGATGATCATCCAAACACCTGACTTCCAATCCTTCGAAGATCTGCCCGCTCCGATCTTAGGCGGTCATACTCGATGCGTAGAACTGTTCATTCAACCGAGTCCATTACTCCTGTTTATGAAAAGGCTTTTTTGTTTATAACCTTCGACATGGACCAATGCTTTGCTCAAGTTCTTTGTTCCTTTCAGTGAAGTCAACGATGTGGCACTTGATCCGCTGCGTATGCAATTAAGCGCTGAAAGCCTAGCCGCCGAGCTGATGCCTTGGAGGCAATACTAAGCAGAGGAATACTTAGTGGACCGGTTTTACTCATCTCCTTTGTAAGTCTCTGATTTCGAGACTTTTCAGCCATTGCTTGTACACTGATCATGCGCTGCCTTGAAGGGCGCACAGCGTGGGCAAGCTACTGTACCGTAGTCCATGCTTTGCTTTATCCATGGGCGAAAGGGGTTAGCACCTATCGATATATCACAATTCAACTACTCTGCTGGCATCTATGCCTTTAAAATGGTCCAACATGCTTGTTCTGCTTCGCTCTTTATCATTTACCACAACACGTCTCCTTTGGCTGGTGATTTCAAAATTCTGGAAGTATAACTGAATCTGCGACCTAAAAGATTGTCCAATGGGAACTAGAAGAGGACAAGAAAGCACTCCATGGAAAGCAAAATCGTACTTGATGCGAGCCACTGAACCATCCGGAAAAGAACATCGATATCGGATGTTCCAAGATGTTACTTCTTAGCAAGACACCAATCAACACCGATGCCTTCCACTCATCAAGCTGCGCTAGGTGTCTTAAACCCATCGAGCTGCTCGAAGTGTAAAGGTAGGCGGTGAATGAGGGACGACCGTAACGACAAAGAACGGCTCCGAAGAGTTCCAATTATGGTTTTTATCCGCTGAGGAGAGACAACATTCGAACCCACGAGTTAGAGAGGTGTTCGAATGCGGTGGTACGCCGAAGATCACTAGAAAGACAGTCACAATGCCATCATCCCGTACGTGTCGCGAACGTTTTGTCCATGGCCAAAATCTCATCATGATCATTGTTTTTGGGCGGACATTCGGTGATGTCATGGGGCTCAAGGCTTTTCCAACCGTGGAGGGTGGTCATCGCACTGTCAACGCAGAATTGGAAGTGCACTACCATTTCCACGTTCGAATCGCGTGCCGGCAGTGTATCGGCCTGCCGCGCTGGCGGTAGCCACATTGCGCAGAGTATATTTGCATCATCATCGTCGTTCACAATCGATTGTTCAGCCGTTCGTTTTTCCTATCATCCGACTCGCTCCGTATGCAGTGCGTCCTACTACTTCGCTTGCTCTTATTCCTATCTTCGGGCTTGTCTTCGTAGTGGCTGTAGCACTTGTCGCTTTTTGCCTGCTAGCAGCGACATCGCAGGGCTCTTGCTGACATAAGACGATTTAGTCGATCAAGGAAGCGACAGAATCACGTCATGCGTTTGGTTTTCTTTCAGAAGCTCTTAGCCACAAAATGTTAATCTACTCCAAAATGTTTTGGCACTGTTTATTCACAAAACTTTTCAGAGCTATGATGCTGCCAACGTTGGAGCAATTCCTCCTCCTCCCGAAAGGCGTCACCGCCCAGCCCATGGTTAGTTCAATCACAGACGTTCATTATCCATATTATATCATGCAGCTAATTTTCATACTAAAGGATAGCGCGGTGAAGGGGATTGTGGTGTTATAATCAGGCACAGCTAGAATGGGTACCTTTCACTAAGTACGTGTTACCTACCGTATGGATGACTCATTCTAGCTAAAAACGGAAGGCGCTCGATCACGAAACAGTATCTCCCCTAATTTCATTATCTCATGAAACAGTAAACAAAGCTTGTGTTAGAGAGTTATTCACAGAATGAGATAATAAAATTAGGGGAGATATTGTGATGACAAAAAAATTTTAGAAGAAAACGTTTTCCTGCGCCACTCCATCAAATTATGCTTACATATTTAAGGCTAACAGTAAAACTTCTACTATAATGATTGTACTTTAGCAGACCGATCACTTATTCAACATCAAACGTTTCCCTATGTGCAGTCAATACTAGACTGCCCTCCTTACCTGTGCAATCAATCACCACACACGCAGAACTTTATGATCAACACTCCGTTCATTCTTCCTTCAGCCTATCCACAATGACATTATCAGAATATTACAAATAAATATTTCTAAGTCGTGAAACTGACAATGATTGTTGAATGGTGCACATCGCAGAGGTGAAACCCTATTGACTTTTTTCTAATTGAAAATCTTTCTAAAAAACAAAAACTAAATTTTTCCAACCCACAAAATGGAGCAGTAATCTGACTTTCTGCGAAGAATCATCACCGTTGTCTACTCAAACATCATAACCGAATTTTTACGAGTTGCCAGATAACAGGGAGCCACCTATCTGTCTTGCAAGTAAAATCGCGAGTTGCAATCGTACTTGAAAGACAACTAGGTAGTCAAGAATAGAGATGAGGGCAACCATGTGTGAGTTGTGGTGTATTTGGCAAAATGGCGTTCATTCAAAAAACAAACGATGAAAAAAAAGGAAAGTAGTGGCCGCATAGTGGCGGTACTTTCTCTGCAACCCAAACATGAACAATAGCCTAGTCACAATGTAACATAGAATTGAAGAAAGAATTCTAAGAAAACCAATCACGAGAGCTTTCGACTAGGTGCATTTTTGTTGTAATGTTTATTCATACCTATAAATAGTTTAGGAACGTGTTTGCGCCTCAGAGCATGCAAAAGCTGTTACGGAGGAGCATCAGATCGTAGGAGAAAGCAGTTCCTATGAGAGTTCCTTATGAATTAAGGCAACGATTGTCGAACATAATGAATATACAGACTGACAGGCTGGTAGTTCTATTTTATCGAGCTACATAAATAGTACGATTCTCATCAATGTGCACTATTCCAATAAGCCTATCACCCGGCGAAAGGGGTAGTCGGCGTAGCAACTATGCGCCAGCTTGTCACTGGTTTCTAACTTGAAAAATGAAAGGGAGATCTTTCGTAGGAGGTCAGTGGGGCGTTGCTCGGGTTGATTTCAAATGAGATAGCAAATTATTTTCTAGGAGCGTATATTGTTATTCAACGGTAATCCTTAGCCTTCGAACAGCCCTAGGGGTCCCTAGTCGAGTAGCACCGAAGGTCGTTTTGGTAAAAGAGGGAGGGCAAATGAGCAGACGGGGGATTTGGCTTTGCCTTTCGCCCCTTCTGCGGCGCGATAGACCTCTAACAACTCTTGGGAAAACAACTCTTGCTGAAAAACGGTTCATCTGGCGATAGCGATATATAAGTGATGACAAAAATGAAGGCGGAAGGAGAAATCTCATGGACCTGTATTTGATACACGTACAGAATGGATATCACTCACCTGTGATAGCTTGGGTGATGATTTTGATTGCATAATTCCTAATTATAGAAGAAATTGAAACACAAACAAAAAAAGAATAAAACAACGCATGCACATCATAACAATAAATCGAATGACACAGAAAATTGCTAGAATGATACCTCATCACCTTGAATACTGAACGATCGATCACGTGATTCTGAAGCATAAAAGTTGGTTCGAAGCATAAAAGTTGTTCTTTGAGAATGAACTTTTTCGAGAGTTACGCGAAAAGCTAGAAATTACGTCTTATGAGAACGGCAGTCGTAATTCAGATGTAATGTGTACATTAATAAGTATGAAAGAATGAAAATTGTTTTAACGACACCCGCTTTCTGGTAAGTGTCCATTTCGGAGTTTGTTCTTCAAAAGAACTCTGACCGTTTCTCGATCGACCTGAAAAAGTCGACAATCAAGGTACATTGTGAAATTCAATAAAAAAATTCATCGTAAAAACATAAATAATAATGTTTAAGCGAGTTCTTTCAAAGTAATTATCTTGCGGGGAGCCTGCCACATCCACTAAGGGGTGGGTAGAAACTTTCAAAGTGATAGGAGGCCCGATTTTCGTGGGCAGATTTGCTGTAGATCATTGAAGTTATTCTTATGTAATCCCACCCTTAGGATATCCGAGCTACTTGGCACAACTTCACTGCCGCCCTAACTTTTACTATTATAATACTTCAACTATTGAATATTCGAGGCTCCGAATGAGACCGAATGTGTATCAGTATTCGAAAACAGCATTGAAATTTTGGTGGCAGCTGGCAGCAGACCCATGAGAGAATACGAATGGAATCGGTGGTACTAATAATAGGTAATCGGTAGTTGGATCAGTGCTGTTGGTAAGTTGTTCCGTTATAACAGAAGAATTGTACTGCTGCTCAATTGCAAACTCTCCTCACGTGAAACAATCGAAGAGGAAACAAAATAATTCTAACATTCTTAAGGGCTGTTATTTGATGTCGTAAAAACACAAACCTCGAGCATTACTTTTACAGCAGGCTTCTTTTTCTTTCGGAGTGAGGGCCTTGGAATGAGAGGTATCTCTTCGTTGCTTTCCTCATTGAAATGCTGAAAAAAAAGGTGCTCTTTGAGTAAAGAATTTCTTCATTAATATTTTTAGAACTAATGTTATAGGAGACAATCCGGAGCGCAGAGAGTGATAACTAGGAATTGGTTATACGAGACTCTACAAATGTGTTTAGGTCGAAAAGAACATGAAACATTAAAATTATGAGCCTAGCTTCGACTATCTAAAAAAATCTAACCTTCCGACGTTTAGCTGGTCGCTTTGGCCCAGGCACTGGTTTTCTTTTACCAAGCATAACTGGTGTGTTCGGTGGATCGGGCGAAAGTTTTGTCTGAAAGTAGTTGGTAGAATATCATCGTTACCTCACCATGAAGAGCTACAGATAATGTTTCTCGAGAGATTGCTCAGACCATAGCAAATATAACTGAGGTCCGTTAGGTCCGAAGCAAGTAACTACTACGAAGTACTACATCTACAATTTCTTCGGAGAACGGGTGTAAAAAACAGAACAAACGTTTTCTTATTGATAACATAAGAATTTATGATCACAACCTCCCGCACACTTGGTGAAAAAACTTTCTCAGTTGACGAGATGAATAAATTTTGAGGCTAACTAACCAATATGATACAAGGTTTTATCACTTGTTAAGAGAAATTAAAGAGTAAATAAACGGATTTTATTTTCGAATGCTTTTCGGCTTACCACCGATCCGTTTGAGGGGAGAGGATTGGGAATGGGAATCAATGGTGAACGTATAGAAATCGGCCGTTGAGGTATTGGCGGTGAATTGTCGATCACAATTGTTGTGACGTTGTGCTTTTGCTGAAGCCTCTTGAATGCCTTCTCTTGTTTTTCACGGATGGTCTCTTTTTCTCTCTCAGTTCGTTTCTGAACAATTTTGTAAATAAATGCCAATTCGAGATCATTCGAGAAATTTCAAGCACAGGCTTAACTTATAACCCTGGTCTCAAAGAGCGCACTGCTTTATGGGCCTAAATCATAACAAGACCAAAAACCCAGTTGGTATGACAATGCACTCATATTGCCCCTCTTTCAACAGATGGGCACACATGCTCCAGCCGATTGGCGGCAGTAAGGCGCAACTACTTGAAGGTGACGCTACCCTGGAGCTAGTACTACTCTACAGGACGGTGAGTCCATAAGGATAGTGTCGATTCATTTGAACAGGGCTACAATTCCCAGCCGGTTGCCTCTTTGCCTTAGCTAGTCGTCTTTCTCCACAAATACGGAGTTCACAACAATCCGTCCCCGTTTCTAGCTGAGATAATACCTCACGCGATAGGGCCAATGACTGATTGTGAACCCCAAAAGAGTTCTACTGTAACAGCCGAGTCTCACTTCCTCGGATTCTGTTTGAGGCTGTAATGCATCGTAAAATCTGCGACATACCTTCTCGGATTCTTTTTTAAGATCTTCATGCATCATAGAACAATATGAGAAGTAAACTCGTTTTCTGTAGCGAGTTTTTGCACTGATCAATACCTTCCTGAAATAACATTTTAATAGTTAGTTCAGAAAATTGGTGTTAGTAGGCAAAGGCACAACGAGAAAGTGACGCCTCTTAGATGCAGGTAAACTACCGCGTGAAGCTGAATAAGAAAACTTCTGCGAGAAATTCTCGAACCCTTCTCAGAGCAAATCTTGTGGGTGATCAGTAAAAGCGGTAAGGTTGGTACTAAATGGCTCGTGACACATCTTTATCAGAAACTGAAATAATTGAGTTTACCTGAACCTCCTCTTATCCATTAGAAAATGATAGACAGGTACCGTCATTGCTCGCAAATATAATTGAACAAATAGGAATATCAACGACGTTACTGCAACGATCCGAATCAACGGTGGATCCTTTTGGCAGTAAATATTCTAAAAATGACAATAATAAGTGACAATAACGATAACTATCATCTGCAGTCACTAATGATCCTATTACAATACATCAGGATCAGACCATGATGGATGATGTGCAGAAATCATATTTACATTCCTAATCAAACAAGACGGCTCGGCTGAATTAATCAAATGATCGTATAGCCCAGCCCAAAGATTCACAGACACATTTAGGTCATACTAACAAAAGTTTGAGGCAATAGTGCTGGTGACAGGCCCAACCATCGTGGCCTGATGAAAAAAAAGCATTCATGCAGAGAACTCTTGCGAAGCGCCTTCTCTTTAGATTATTGGCAGTGCGGCTTCCCGGATCTCAAAGCGTTTACATTACTCGACTACTCTCCGGCTCTGCTCCAAAATGTTAGCGCGAGGCGCTGGGTGACTGCAACATTATCTTGCACTTACCATTGAAAAGTGTTTGGTTCGTCGGTATCATTTCTTTTTTTGGTCCCTGGCAAATCACTTTACATCACTACCTGTCACCCATCAAAAGGCATAAAATCGCGTTCACTGCCTTCAGGAACTTTACGATTTCTCCTAAATTGACACGTTCTGGTGTCACACGACTACAACAAAGTAAGGCATGCTCCGCCTTTGTCAGGTGCACGATCATCCCACTGTGCTTATGTTAACTATATCTTAACTATATGTGAAAGCACTATTTATGATACCCATGTCTTGCAATTAAGAAATCCATTGAAGCAGTCAAATTTTCCCACAGATTTGCTCAAAAAATTCGGGCTGGCAAAGAGAGGCAACTTCAAGGCATCAAAAAATATAGCGAATCATGATCAAAATCCAACATTGAATGAATGCAGTCTAGCAGCGAACTCTGATAAAAAGTAAAATGGAGAGATTAAAACTTACCTCTTCGTTGTATCCACCAAAGTCTGAAGCCAGTGCAAATGCTGCATCTAATAAAAGAAACACACATGTTGTATATTGAAAAATAAGTTGTATTCGTAACAAACGAGATCGTCGCTCTAAAATTGCCACGACAAATAGCACCTGAAACGTGATTGATTCGAATGAATGGTCGAAAACATCCAATAAACTGAGAGAGCAGCTCAGGCGAGTTGATGAGCGTCTCGAGCTAATGGCTAAGAAAAGCGAGAAAATCTAAAATGAGAACCAAGTTCTACAGAGAACATATTGTGGTTTTGAATTCAACAGGCGTAGAAGAACACGGATCTGGTCGTATGTTGACCAGGCGTTGGAGCCAGGTTCCGTGGCCGGATTATTGTAGAAATCGAGTGTTCTTTCTGTTCTTTTGAAAGCATACAGATCATGTTCACGTAGAGCAGGGAAATCAGAGCTGGGACACCTCATTGTGCCTTGCCTTTTCTGACTAAGGGCCATCAGTATCGATTGTCAGTATCGATTATTGGCCAAGTAACCCTGGACGTCGGCATGGCTGCTTTCAGACTTCGACATCCGTCCGTCCGTCCGTTCAACGCGTGCTGCGACAGCGATCGCGTGCGTGCCGCGACTGCGATTCTAGAAAGATGTTGGAAGCGCTGGCACGCGATCTAGTGTTGTCAACACCTTTCTAAAAATGCCGTCGCATCACGTCACTGTATAAATCCCACTGCGAAATAAAAAGGGTGGACGTATCGAGCAAGCGCGCGGAGTGAAGTAGGACGCATTCATAGTACCGGCGTCAGGAGACTGAGGTAGGCGCTGAATCAACTCCTCGCAAACCAATCGGTGACTCGTGCTGTGTGGTGCGAAGGGAGAAAAAAAATATTCGGGGGCTATAGTTTTGTTTCTCGATTGCAAGTAAGGAGGAGAAGGTTTGCTCCCTTAGGAAGGAATAATTGCACAAACAATGTATCCTTGAAAAGGAAAAAGAAGCAAAGGGTAAGTTCCTTATGATCGCCTTCTGCGAACGCCTGGGTTCTCCCAAGCGTACTATTTGTCGGCGACCCACTATGAGTGCGCTCACTATGAACCCCATGTTTCGGTTATAGCCCGGGGATTTCGGAATCATCGCTAATTTTACATAGCTGCCGAATATCGAGCAACGCCCGCGCGTATGCTCCCAACACTTTTGGCTTCGAAATGAAAACTAAAATACAATGCTTGGCAGAGTAAGTAAGAGAGTAAAAAGCAAATGGCGATGTAGAATAACAATATAAACAAGCAGAAAAAATAACACTAGATATTTTCAACTGTACTCACCTTAAAGGAGTAAAAAATTGAGTATTGTCCTATGGTCACAAAGAATACGAACCATGGAAGGCGGGTATCATCACAATTGAATAAATTAATAAGGAAATGAAACACATTCAATGTGTAGCCGAACAAGCCAAAACCGCATTCGATCAGGCATACGATCATTGCCCTGAATATTTGATTAACAACAAGGTCGATCAGAAGCATAGATTGAAAATCAGTTGAATTTGACTCCTGGTTCACTTCTTTTCATAAATTTAAGTGGTAGCGTGATAACCTACTACTCCTGATCGGAGAGCATCATCGTAAAGACGGCTACACCCATTTTTTTGCGCCTGAACGATTAGTGCTGTGCCCAACTACATTTTCCATGATGAAGTGGATTTGAGACGGCCTCAGAAATACTTTTTTGGCTGTGAGTTGCCAGCTACAGTAAAAGTCCCACTGACATGAGCTAAAAGATTCGAGCAATAGACCGAAGACGAGAAATCCCAGGGAGGAACAGTGGTGGTTGATGGAGCGCACAGTAGTGGTGAAATATGATGGCGACCACTCAACCACACAAGGGAGCTAACAAAAACACTAACGCAACTGGACTTTTCTTGGATGGGTGCCACAGTATTTAGAGGGACCAATTCATGCGCCAAGTTCCAAGCAAAGCTTTCCATCGTGGGGATAATTTTACATTCTAAAAATTGTAAGAAAAGACAACAGGCACACAAGAGTTGCTCATAAGTGAGCCTCAAGCAGAAACTAATAAACGCTGCTTTTGTGAAGCAAACATACCAAGATGGTGTCGCAAGTACTCCGACATTCGTCCAGAAAAATGGCATCTGATACTTTGGCGAGGAAGCATCGAATCTAGAAATTAATAAAACTCGGACGATAGGCGGAGAAACCAACAGGTAAGATAGCTTACGGAAACGTACCTTTCTGGTCCTACGAGTTCATGAACTTCAAGAGGCGTATTGACCGGCCAGACAAACTGCATTTCTGCAAGGATTACACTTCTACTATAAGGCGAAGAAAAGAAATGGAGAGGAAAATAAAGGAAAAAAGGTGGGTCGGAAGAAAAGGTTCTGAAGAAGTTCATGCTCTGACAAAGTTCTGATTGATATTGATTGGAATTTCACGACTCTTTGAAGGTTCAAGTAACCCACGTGCTCGATCGTCCAGATCGATCCATATTTCTTTGCATTCTGATTTTAGTTTGTCATATGTCTCTCGTACATTGCTAACGGTATGCTGGCAGGTGGGTCCCGCCATCCCTGCCAACGCTACTTTCCTATGCCAGTGTCGGTCTGATCTGGATCGTTCAGGGAGCCTGAAATAGACCACGAATTTGGACTGCTGATATAAGGGCAAGTATGAAGAAACAATCATTCGAACAATAATTTTTGAGAAATGAAAGGAAAGGCTATGTCTCGTACTCCTGCTGAGTCAAAATCGGTTCGCTGCAATCTAACAATTCACATAACTTCAACCTCCTGTCCTATAGAGACAAATCATTGCCTTTTCAGTCGTAACTCTAGCCGTTCCTATTCAGTAACATGTACATCTCAATGCGTCCAATCCGATCTTTAATATAAACTTCAGCTGCTGCCGAGTGAAAACCAGAAAAATTCTTCACGGATATCAAGGGGAAAGATCGTTAAACATAAGAAAAAGACAAAGAATTGAGCAAGAGGATGTAGGAGAGGGAGGATTCAGAGGATTCTCTTCTGGAAAATCGAAACCGTTCTCGGCTATGCTGGGGTTCAAAGTTCGAACATGGTCGCGACGAAAAGAAATCCTTCCTTTTGTCTAAACGAAAAAGTGCTGATCCGGTGATAAGCCATTTTATATAACGTAATCTTTGTAGCTCACGTGTGAACATTCCAGGAACACCAGAATTTTTTCGAAAAACACGAAAATTCCAAAGCTGGCACCAAATTCCAGAAACGGCCTAATCGATTTTCCTGTAGGGTGACATCAGGGGACTGGAGAAGCCTTCACAATTCTAAGTTGAAGACAGACATAATAATGATGAATGATCTTCACGGACAGAAATGATTAGATGAAAGAAAGAATAGGAATGGATGAGATAAATCAGGACAAGAGCCAGGTCTCAGGGTTTGGCGCTAAACTGTAGGCGAGCAGAAAACTAATAAGTTCAACACTGTAATTTACAGATCATTGCCCATGTATGTAAATTCAGGAATCTTTCCAGTTCTGAATGCATTGAATGAAATCGAACAAAACTTCTCCACAACGCCCTCCTGCTGGCAAACTGAAAGAGTGTTTGATTTTGTTGCCGAAAAGTTTTTCAGCCAACTTGCAAAAGGAAGGGAAGAGGAACAGTGTGGGTAAAGATAGCTGACGGAAAGTAGTTGCAGTTAACAAAGGGGAATGCAGGGGTAAGTATGAGATGTAAAACTATGTAAAAGACGAAAAAGATGAGGTAAAAATTAATAAATCAGAAAAACAGGAGGAGATATGAGGAACCTAGAGAAAGAATGAAAAGGCAAATAGGAAAAGGAGCAGGTCGGTGTGTACGGACCGCCTCTATAGGATTAAAGAGTTCACCAACTTGCTCCCTTTAGCCATCTGATCCCCTTGACCTTCCTAGATGCAACCTCCCACTCCTTGAATAACAAAATGCTTAATTTTTGAAAAAACGCAGTGCAAGGACAACGGTGAGTGAAAGAATAAATGACTGCGTCTACACATTTCCTATCAGAGACGAATCAAATTTGGAGGTCATATGAGTCAATGCGGTAGTTCCGAAAATGGTTAACAAAACTGTAACGTAGGGTTGGGAAGGTGGGGTAGTAGCGTGGTAATGTCCCGGCCAAGGTAGGCGCGTTCTTAATTCGCCTCCACTGATGTTCCGTCTTTGCGACGTAATCCTGTTCGGCATGACTCCGGGAGTAATCAACATGCCGTAAAAGTCGTCAATTGTGAAACCTTTTTCGAAGGACTACAATACATATTCAAGTAATGCTACAATAAAAGTGTGATGTGGACCTTTTACGAGTGCACCCAGCGAATGTCAAACAAGGTTAAAGGTAAACGGATGTCTGATTGTGAAGGGGTCGAATGATGTTGGCAGGTGGGAATGTAAATTATGCAGGAAAATGGAAGATGCACGTTTGCGACTTTTCCGAGGGGACTGAATATAGTATAAACATGAGGGATGTCATGGCAAACCCAGTATCCCCTGAGGAAGGGCATGCTGGGTAAACATTGTGGAGTACGTGGCTTTGTAAGATTATCTTGGTTAGTGGGAATTGAGAGCCAAGCAGTGCTCCGAATACGGGTAATTCGTCCCAAGTCTTCCCTTGCCCGCTGCAACAGTCTAGCCTGGGTAGGGAACAAAACAATGAAACACAGAGGAGGGATCAAAGTTCAAGGCAGACCACTAATAACTCCTCCTGTTCAGATTTGTCCTACTCGCAAAATAGTATTAATACAAAAATAGCTAGCAAAAATGCCAAAATGAGTACGTACAAGAGTGGGCAGTTGTTTTTTATGGCTTTTTGCACATGAATTCTGTCACAGTTGACTGCATGCCTTTTCTTCGTCATGATAAACAAATGAATAAATCAATCAAAAAATAAACGAATGCATAAGTAATTGTGCTCCCATAGAAGGAATTTCAAAGATGTCTTACAATCTGAACCCTTCCCAATTACTTCCATTTACAGACCCACACATGCTCCGGAAATCCTCATTCCAAGGCCAATTCAGAGATCAATTTAAATAGGTTTTTTTATAGATCCGAAAACGAAGACTATTATTTAACAACTATTCGAACAATTAGTGATGTTTTTATCGAAATTGTTTTACTACTGAAAGGACAGTACTAGGTGTTACCCAATTTCGTCTTGGTAATATACACTCACCCGACTTCCATTCAGAATCCTTGTGGCGGTTTGAATACGTATGGGGTTTCAACAACGACTTTCGGGGGCAGCCAGTATAAATACAAGTCAGTGCTTTTATCCTCCTAGACGAGTCTGGTACCAATCAACCAATCCCGAAAGATAAGGAACTGGTTGTCCCGGGCGGATATCGTTCCAAAATTTGAATTATGGAACATTACGACCATGATAGTACCCCCTTGCACCTACACCATATTATTTCATACTCTAAAGGAATGCGATGGACCGAGACTGCTATTCGGTCCATCGCATTCTTTGGAGTATGAAAAAGTCGTTGAACTAACAATCGATCAATAACTTTCCCTGACAGTTTGAATAACAGATCATTTTGTTGATCGGTTACGCTTCATGAGATTGAAAGCTGGTTTCAAAGTTTACCATCTGAAGAAATATCAAGTCAGAGAGCTTACTAAAGAACTTATTGGCATAAGAAAACATCCAAAGCTGAACATGAGTTTTACCGCCACAGAACAAGTAAAACTGAAATCGAAGAAAAAACAGAAACAGTGACAATTCATCTTATTCTCCTCGTTAGAGCCACTTGAAAATAATTGGTTGCAATTTTCTCTTCACACTCGTGGAGGTCGTTAACCTGAATGGCGTGCAATATGGGTTCCCAAATTCAAAAGCAGAACTGGTCTTGGCTACCTTTGGCCACCTGCAGTAAATCACGGAACAGAGAACAAATTGGGTGATGAGCGAGACACCAAGGAATCACTTAATACAGTCTACTAAAGGTGGTGTGACCTCTTGGTCTCATTCATGAAGGAACAGCAAAATCGTCAAAAGAGAGTGAACTATCGAGAGCGGGAACAGTGGCGATACCAAAACTAAGAGTAGTATCATGTATAATAACATATTTTATCCCATTGACGGCAGCTGGCAAAAACAACATCGTTGACGGTCTCACAAACACCTTTCACTAGTTCGGTTCCCACTATCCTAATAGGGAGCTACATGTGCAGTCCTTCAGTCTCCGATCTAGGCTAGCCTAGATGCTTTCTTAGAGGAACAGTTCATAATCCTTGGAGCACCTATTTCTCAAATAAAGTAGGTAAATATGCAAAATAGTGCTTCGGTGGCGAAGGAAGCGCGAAAAATGTAATGCTTCCACGTTTTCGTTAAAACAGAGGATTGTACGAGATTATGACGATCAAAGTGGCAGGGAAAGAGGGCTTGGACGAGATTTCAGTCGTGTACAATTGCGTAAAAAGCTGCCCGCATTATACTAAAAACCTCTAAGTTGCATTACAATGACGACATAAGGTTGGAGCGGCACGCATTTGAAATTTCATGTTTTCCAGGATATTAGCCTATGTTACTGTTGTTATTTTGCTGTTGTCGCTGTTATATTTTTGTTACGTTACATATTGTTGAATTCTTATTGATTTTCAACATAACTGCTCCATCGCGAATAATGCAGCCCTAACAGGGCCGGCTTAACTCGGCCATAACTGGGTGGGGCACACAATGAAGAAGTTTTTGTGCCCTTTCACAACCTATTATCTAACGGTTTCCAAACCGCGGCTCATGCGCTCCCTAGGAAACCATAGATCCATCCTAGTGGAAAATCTCAGCAACCACTTAACAGTACCTACTTCCAAGTCAAAGCCAATTCGTAATCTAGTTTGATTGTCACATACTGAAATATATTCTGCGGCGCAACTGAAAGTTCCACTCCTTTCGGCAAACCCTCCTCATATTTGGTACTGACGAAAACAACGACTGAATTATATTGTTAGGCAATATTAATTACACGTAGCAGCTAGCTTTGAACTGCGGAGGTTGTCAACAAGCATTGGACTGACCAGCAACCTTAACTCAACTTTTATTATGTACCGTGCCAAGCTGCTACATATTAGCACTTATACGCTCACATTCGCTTGAATTGCTTGAAGTCTACAAATAACTCAGCAATAAGCAATATCAAAAAGCTCTTGGAGTTCTCAGAAATCCTTCTATATTGAGGATTACCCAAGACTTTAAGAAGTATTTCATTAATTTAACAGCTCACTACGTATACCAACTGATTACTTGCCAAAAAAGACCACCACTTCAAATTTCATCGTGTATAGTTGCACTATGAAGTTATAGTATTATATAAAGTATACGTGAAGAAAGTTCATTACTGCAAAAGTAGACGAGAATAGGTTAGATGGACCACGAGACCCGATGGTGTAATACGAAAGAAGATTATCAGGTACTGTCCCACACTGGAACGATTTGCTGTATACTCAAACCTTAAGAAGAGCTTTTAAGTCGAACCACTTAGCACGAGCCGAAACAATAACCGAACACTGTGAAATTTAGCATCTTTCACTACCATTCCCATGTGGGGGAGAG